TCCAGCTCTCAAACCTCCAGTGACCCCTCCTGTCACTTGAGACCAAGTCCAGTATCCTTGGCCTGTCATTCAGGGCTCATCATAACCCAGCCTCAGCCTCACCTCCACCCTTCCTTCCCTCCACTGAGAGGTGGTATGGTATGCCACGGACCAGGCACACAGGTTTCCAGGTCAGACTAAGCTGTGTTACCTTGGGCAGGAAGGGGCCTACTTAGGCTCTCCGAGGCTGAAATGGGGAGAAGTAACATTCAGAGGAAGAACTAAATTACTGCATGTAAAACAATTTCAGTACAATGCATGGTACCTAGAAAGGGTTCAAAAAAAATGATGGAGATTTTCAAGCCCTTATGCCAGCAGATAGGTTGAAAGTATTGCATTGCTCCATTTCTGACTCTTCCTGACCAAGAACCCCCCTATCACATCCCTCTCTAGGTCCAGATTAAGCCAACACTGTTCTCTCCTTCATGTGGCTTTGCTGGTATTTACTGCTTGTTACCACATAGCTGAGATTTGCAGTTACCCTGGCTAGTAGTCTGCCTTATCTCCTAGTGGTTACATTGTCTGTTAGCATTCGGTATCTATTTCAGCCCCCTCTTATGTCCACCTCCTCCCACCCCCATGTTGCAGAGTCCAGAGGCTAAGGCATTCCCAGACTCCTTTGCAGCTGGGGTTCTGGGTTTAATTCAGCTTCTGCCAATGAGTTGCACCTGCAAGAGGAGTGAGGCAGAGGCCCTCTTTCTTGCTGTAACAGCACAAGTTAGGAGGGTATAGTTGGACTCTTGGTTTCAAGGCAAAACTACTATAGCTGAGCAACTCTAGACTTAACTTTTCTTCCAGAAATTCCATAAATATCCATTTTCCTGTATTAAATCTCTTCTGTTTGAGTTATCTAGAATGGTTTCTGGTTTCTGGACAGACCCCCAACTGATTAAGTCTTCAATTTGCTCTTCAGCTCCTTAAACTCAGTAACTATGCATCACACAGCTCACTGTGTGAGTCTATGGGGGGATCCAGATTCACGAGCAGCCAGCTCAGCCCATGTGGACACCTCCTCAAAGCCACTACAGCCCGTGCAATTGACAAGGAAAGTGCATATTGCCCAAGAAAGCCCACAGCCAACGAGGGCTCAGAGCATCTACAACATCTTCTGCTGGGAAAAGAAATAACTGCCAATGTATGTCCCACGGCAAACTGGAAGGACAAGCAGATCTGCTACCGAGACAAATTTTCATCTCACTTTCCAATCCACATAAGGAGGCAAATTCAGCACTAAGGGTTAGATGAAAATTTTGTGAGCTTTGGTAGTTCTTCCTTCCCCTTATCTTTCCTCCTTTCTCTTTGGTCAATAAGAAGATAAATTTACTTTATAAATCTGTGTTTCACAAAGTGTAGTAGATGATCCACTGGTGGCAAAGATTTGAGACTGTACACAGGTGGATATCTTATTTGAATAACTATGTATTTATTGTCATGATTACCATCTATTATGCTCAATAATACTGCTTTTGCATTTACAGTTGGAATATACCATTTCTTCTTTATATAAATTTATTCAAATTAAGCAGTCAATTTGAGGAAAACTAGTAAATAAATAAATAATACAAGTGGTAGACAAATATGGCAAATTATAAATGTGGTATAAGAATGACTAAGCTTGGGTGACACTGACTTAAATCTTACAAATATTTTCTGGAGAATTTCAAATATCTAATCTACTTGGCTTATCAGGACAGTGATGAGATGGCTCTGAGAATGTTCATAATTCATTTTAAATAACTTTCTGTCCCATTTCTCTTCTCAATACCTTGGGAATAATTTGGTCTTACAGAAAAACTGTAGGATGGAGGCAGGAATTTCAATAGCCTTGCACGAATTATGGCACTGGGCAGGTTATTCAAACTTGTTTGGTAGGAAGCTACTGAATATGTCCATTCCACAGGATACTGAGTAGAACAGAAAGATGCAGCTATATCTTTTAAATTAAATCATGAATTTCCATGACTGTCTTCATTTAAATTGTTTTCTCTAACTGCAGTTTACATGTGTGTGTGTGTGTGTGTATAAAATCCTAGAGTTGGGGGAGGGGAAAAGGGGAAAATTTGCAATAAATTATTCAAATACATGAATGTTAACTGGGAAAAACCACACAGCTATGGCTGCAGAGCTAAGGTCTCCCCAGAACACAAAGTCACAATTATGTGAGGGAAAGGGGAATGACATTTTCTCTGCAGTCATGGAGTCATACTGGCCAGTGTCATACTGGCACTTAGGGCATCTCCCCCAGCAGCCCATCATAAGAGGGCGTACAGACAAGATCAGGGACAAAGCCAACGAAGTCACTCACAGCTCACAGGACAGGATGATGCTGCACTTCCCGTGGACCGACTACCACGGCCATTTTTAGCAGAGATGTCACAGAATATATCTTACAATGTTTGACAAGAAAAAAAAGTCTTCCGGAGAAATAGCTGTTATATTCGTTATAAATAACATATTATTATTGTGAACATACTGGCTCACAAAGCTTTCTGAAGGGTGGGGTCACACCTGCTTTGTAAGGCAACTGAGTTGAATTCTTGAGCAGCTACAGAGATGTAAGACTGGAAGTCTATCCACAGGGTAGAAGCTCAGCGAGGATGTGAGGAAGACACCACGATGCAACATAACCAGTGTAACAACAGGATGCTTGGTGCGGGACCCTAACAGCAGTGGTGGTGGGGGCCGGGGAGGAGCCGCTGCTGCCCTAGGTGAGAAGGACGCCTCCTTACAACTCAAGTCAGTCTGTCACTCGTTCATTTGACAGAAACTTACTAGGCCCTAGCTTTGAACCAGGTATTGTGCCGCTACCAGGAATTCAGCAGGACACCAGGCAGACACGTCCCTGAAGTCATGGAACCTACCGTCAAGTTGAGTGAGAATGGTGATAAACAAGCAGAGACACTTACACACAAGGCGATTTCAGCGCGTGATGTGCCACAAGGGGTATAAGCAGTGCGTGGTGTATGTGAACAGTGACTGAAGGGGGCGCTGTGGGCCGGGTAGGCGAGGGAGGCCTCTCTGAGGATAAAATGAGAGGGAAGCATCCTGGGAAGAGTCAGGTGAGAATATTCTGGTAAAAGGGAACAGCCAAGACAAAGGCCCCGAGTGGGAAGGAGTCCCGGGTGTCCGTGGCTGAAGAAGCAAGGGTAAGAGGACGTTGTCAGGAGGCAGGCAGGGGCCGGGACTGGATTCACCCTACATGCAACGGGCAGGCGTGGAAAGGTTAAACAGGGAGCAACACAATCTGATTTAAGTTTTCAATAGCTCACTCTGGCCACGTGTAGGAAGAACGGACTGAGGGTGGGTCGGGAATAGAAGCAGGGAGCCCAGGCTACTGCAATAGTCCAGGTGCAGGAGGCATGGGCCAAGTGACAGCAGTGGAGATGGAAGGAAGTGAAGAAAAGTAGTTAAGAAGGAACACTAGCACCGGGCATGCTTTGGCACTGAATCGAAGCTTCCTGAATGAATGTTATAACCTGGCTGGAATTGCAGCTGATTTGATTGGCTTTTCTAAATTCAATCATCATAAAAGTGAAAACGATTATATACACTTCCAGTAGCCCTAAATCAGACATGGACAACAAAAGACATCTTAGAATTTAACAACAATCGATTGTGATATAACGTATGCATTGATTGACACATGCGCAGGGCAGCATCTCCACCCATATTAAAGGAAAAAGTGGGTCACTCAAAACTGAACTGTCAGGCTCTCCCTGTCTTCCATGCCTCTCCTGACCCCTCACAACCCCTCACGAGCTGAATCCAGTCTTACGTTGCAGTTTCAAAGTTAAGCACCCAGATCTCCCCGGAACGAACTGTAACTTCCAAGGAAGAACGTGCTCTGGCATTATACTTCAGTAAACCCAGAAGGCACGCTGAGATAAGAGTATTAAGGGTACCTATTAATGAAGCCGGAAGTTTCAAATAAAGCAGAAGAGATGTCCCAAAGGGAGACATAAACCAGACAGAGCCTGCATCCTGGCAGAGGCTGAGGGAGTCAGTAATTGCTGGCAAGTTTGCAGAGAAGGCCTTTTCTGCTCAGCTTCCTCAAAGAGCAGCACAGTCGTGGCAGCAGGGAGGAGCAGCGGTTTTTCTCTATCCTTCTGGAAGCTTGCTGTGCATCCAGACAGCTAGGACATGGGTCATCAGCGGGCCCAGAAAATGGTTCTTGTTCACAAAGAGTGCTCTCCCCTGAAGTGGACGTGGGTGTCAGGCCCGGCACAAGGGGCCAAAGGGCTGGCCAAGCCCTGCAGAGGGCAGGAGGAGAGAGAGGGCTGTGCCCCTGCTGCTTAGAACCACATCTCCCGGCAGTGAGGGCTTTGACTTCCAGAAGAACTTATGGGTGGGGGCACAGTGGGGAGGCTAAGGGAACTGTGACGGGCAAGGACGTCACTGGTGCAGAGCTCCTAAAGCCTGTGACCTGGATCCAAGCATGTGTGTGTTGGGGAGACAGGCAGGAAGGACGGATCCCCACTCAGTTTCTGAATTTAATCGCTTCCTACTGCCATGTAGGTATATAAATAAGTCATACATGTGCAGAACAAGCACCCCCCACACCTAGGGCTGTCCTTTTCTCATGGGGACCCAGCATTGGTGCTGTACAGAGACGGCAGAAGAAGTGGAATATTTGAAAATCATATCCGAGGGGCTAGGCATGCTGTTGCACCTCTGCTTTCGTAAGTCCACCATACAGCCCTGCTAAAAATCCTCTTAGGTGGGAAGGAATGACCAACTCCACAGCAGGGTGGAGTAAGTGAGGCCCAGAGTCACATAACAAGTGCATGGCGAAACTGAAAGTTGAAGGAGTCAATCCCAAGTCTCATGATTTTCCTACATCTGCCACCTGCTGCCACCCTCACCTTCTGCCAGGCTCTCTTCTAAGGAAACTCAGGCCCCACTCTCTGCATGGCTATGGCCTGGGATCCCGACCCCACAACTCAGCTTGCCCCAACTCTTACCTAGCTCAAGAAAGGTGACCAGTCACAGATGTTCTCACTCAAAACTCTTTGTCAGGGAGGAAAGAACTCTACAGCACCCCAACTCTGCTAGCGTGGGTATTCACCACCAGCAACAGGATGGGGTCTCTCTCATCTGCAGATGAAGGTGCTCCTCCAAACAGCTCTCAGGTACGGCTTCTTCCTGCCATGCTAGCGTGTGCTCCGCATGGGTGCCACACCTGGGCCAGGAAAGGAAAGGAACTTGGCGGGCTCGACCTGCTCAGAGGCCTCGGCGATTGGTGCATGCAGCACGCAGGGCAGGGTGCGTAGAGAAAGGGAGGGGTTGCGGGACACAGTTCTGTTGCCTTGCCCTCCTGTCATTTGGCAGCTGGTGAGGTGGTAAATGGTTAACCTGGGAAGGTGCTCCATCCTCCTCTGGTGTCCTCAGAGTGAACGATGTCACCCTGGCAGGACGCTTCTGCAACCAGGACCTGGCACACTTTCACTTAATAAGTGGTGAAGGGTATAGATTTTTCAAGCCAGATTGATCTGCGTTCAAAATTGTGGCTTTCCTTCTCACTAACTATGTAACTCTAGGTGAGTTACCTTCTAAGATGCAGTTTACTTATCTATTGAACGAGGACAATAATAGTACTTATGTCACCGGGCTGTTGTGCAGATAAATGATATAATACACATAAGGGCACAGAACAGTGCTTGCCACCTAGGAAGTGTCCAGTAAATGCCAACAAATAAAAAAATGCAAGTAATAATTCTCTTTAAGTGAATAAGCCATGGAAGCTGCAGGTCTTCCCTGGAAGTGACTGCAGATCCAGCCCTAATAGTCCTCTCTTTTAAAAACAGAAAGAGAAAGGAACAACTATTAAGCACTGGTCAGGTGCTGTGCTAGCTGCCTCACACCTCGGGAGGCAGTAGAAGATGTGATCATTTCCTCAGGGCCTACTATTCAGGCAGACACCTGGTGCACATGATCTCTAATCTATTCGACAATTCTGCTAAGGCAGATTTATTCTTACAGAAGGAGGAACTGGAGGGTCAGCAATTCAAATCACTTGCCCAGAGTCACGCAGTCAGTGAGCAGCAGTTGGAATTCACACAGTAACATGCTCTTGCAGCATTTACATACTCCTTGTGCTGCGCCAGGTATTGTTCTGATCCCTTAACATATACTCGCTCATTTAATCCTCTGCATACCCCAGTGGGGATGGACTATGATTACCCCCCACTTCACAGATGAGTAAAACTGAGGCCCAGATAGGTCAAGCAAGGCCATACAGTGAACAGGTGGGCTGGAACAGGAATCAAGGCAGGCTGGCTCCAGAGGCTTTGCTCTAACCATTGCCCCAACTACCTCTCATGTCAAAAAGCCCTTACTCCGCTCACTGTAGTATCCCGCCTCTAAGAATGAAAACTCATGGTTGCTGAGGATACTCTTCTAACAAGAGACAACTATGTTGGGATAAAAAATGCACTGGGCTGGAAGTCACAGACTTTGGGCTGTGACTCAAGCACATCACTTTCCCTCCCTGGATGTCAACTGGCCCAAGTATAAAAGGATTGGTTTGGATTGGAACTCTGCATTGAAAACTTGCGGCTCTAATGGCATATGGTTCTCTGAATTTGGCCTTTCTCCTTCCTGAGGAAGACCATGAAGTCCATGAAAACGTGGGCTGAGGTTGCTGACAGGCCCTTCCTGGAGCAGCCAAAGCACCTCTAATGGAAGAGACAGCACGCGGCTGGGTGCATGAGAGCCGCCCACAGGCAAGCATCCGAGACTGGGAGATCCTGGGAAGTTTACCAGGCCCTTGGTTTTTCCCCTTTGGCAAAGATAGGGAAATAACTTGCCTTAGAGGGTTTCTCTGAGATCATAAAAAAATGGTCATAAAGCATTTTCCCAGATTCAAAGTCCAGGTTTGTAAAATGCTCTTGAACTCAGCCATGGGAAGGGTAATCAGAGAAGAAGTAGGGACTTTGCAGGATTCCCAGAAAGCAGTCTGAGAATGTAAAAAATCTTCATTACTTCTCCATGCTTCTTACAGCTGAGAGTCTGGTCCAGAAAAGGGGGAAGGGAGGAAGCCCCAGTACTACTTTAAAGCAACTCAAGAGATATTCAAAACTGCGCCATGCTGTTTAGCACATTACATGCTATCCTGTTCTCCAAAGTCTTCATCTCTCCCAGCTGACAGCCAATTCTGAGGCTATGAAATTAGTCTTTCTCTAATCAAGACCTGTTGAATGACTGATTCATTTTCAAGATGAAACCTGAATATGCTCCTCTATATATCCACCTGCCTAATTCTCTTCTTTTCCTTAAGTGCCTTGATCCAATTCAAATCAGCAAACATTTACTGAATTTCTGCCATGGGCCAGGCAGTGTGTCCTCTGTGCATTCCAGTTACTTCTACAAGCTACAGTAGTAAAAAATAATGACTGGAAATAGCATCAAGTGTCTAGACTTGGGACTGGAAGAGGAGGATCAAACCTTCCCTTCCAGAAGGTTTGAGAAGGTCAAAGGATAGATCTTGGGATTTCAACAACTTGGCTTAAAAGCTGTTTATTTCAATCATTTATAGTGTTTCACTCATTTAATAAAATATTACATAAGAATGTGCTAGTCATCCATTCAACAATGATTTCTTGGGCATCCACTCTTTAGTAGGCAGTGTGCTAACTATCCTGAGAAAATCAAAGAAGAAAACTGGTATACTACTGATTTTATTGGAAGACTAATACCGAGGTCTGCTGCTACCAGTTTTAAAGTTTTAAAATAGAGAAATGGTATCCCTCTTCCTCTAGAAGCACGAAGTGTTTAATTTGCTTATTTAGTCAAATAAATGAATATTTACTGAGCACCTATCTTTTGCCTGGCAGGGGTGATACTTAAAAAGCAGTCAAGCAGGCCTCATGGAGGCCAGCAATTTGATTAAGAAGAAAGCCAATTACTAACTAGGATAGGAGTTATGGAAGGAAAAAAACAAAGGACTCAGATTTTGAAGGGGGTGGCTCCATGCGACAGGTGAATCAGGGAAAGTCTCTATGGAAGTGCTCCATGTAAGTGGAGTACTGAAAAATGAGAGCTCGTCGTGTACAGAGCGGGGAGAAGGGCCTTCCCGGGCAAGGGGATGCCATGGACACACTCCCCTAGGCAGGAAAGAGTTTGCTGCGTTCAAGGAGCCAGAAGGTGCAGCTGTGGCCAGGTGAGCAACCGAAGGAGGTACAGGTGAGAGAGGGGAGGAAGCAGACCAGAGCACGCAGCTCTTCTAAGCCTTGGCGAGCAGTCTGGATGTTATTCTTCGTGCAAGGGGAAGCCATTGAAATGCACTTAAAGCAGGAGAGTGACATGCTGCCGTTTCTATTTTGACGCCACTCTTGGGCTGTATGGACGATAGACTGGAAGCAGGCAACAGTGAAACTATGGAGATCGGTTGGGAGACTATTGCAGGTCTCTGAGTGAAAGTGACCTTGTCTATGAGAGAATGAGAAGTGCTTGGATTTCGTATCTACTGGGGAGGCCCAAACAGAAGTGCTTGCTATTGGAATGAAGGAATGTTGAAAAGCAGGATTCAAAGATGACACCTCAAGCCCTGGCTTGAGCAGCTGGTAAGTGATGGGACCATTTACTACAGTGGTTCTCAACCAAGGGCAATTCTGACCCCTAGGGGACATCTGGAACTTTCTGGAGACATATTTGATTGTCTCTACTGGGGTTGCTACTAAAAGTCTACAATGGGTAGAAGCCAGGGATGCTGTTAAACATCCTGCAATGCACACAATATCCCTCCCCCGCCAAACAAATGATCACCTGGCCCAAAATGTCAATGGCACCAAGGTTGAGAAACCGTGACTTACAGAAGAGAGAAGAGTGAGGGTGGATGACTGTTTGAGAGGTTACTTAGCACTATACCTGGGACATATTAAATTTGAAATATTCATGTTAAATTGTCCTTGGAACCACACTGGTTGGAATGGAGAAAAGTAAAATGCAGGACTGGCATCTGGGTACTTTCAAGAACAGGGTGAGTCCTCTCTCTGAGCTAGGAAAACCTAGCAACACATGGCCCTGTCTCCTGCTAGCTAAATTATGAAATAAAGTTCATAAAATAAAGAAAGTATAAGTCTTTACACTTGCCATTCACCCTATTTATAAGCCTCCTTTTCTCCCTCCCAAATTTCACTTATTTTTTCAGCCCAGCTCCAAGTCCTAGACTTGGGAGGCTTCCCTAAGGACACCCCTCCTCGCTGGCTCTGAATTCAAAGGGGCCTAGACTTTCCAGCACCTCTCTAGGTATGCCATCATGCTGTCACATACATATCTCTTTAAGACTTCTGACACCCCGTGAGAAAAGGATTCCTCCAATCTTCCAGGTAGAAAAACTGAAGCTCAGACAAGTAACTTGCCCCAGTTGACAATGATTTGTACTAAGTTCATTTCCAAAATCAATGCACAGGCAGACTCCCTTACACAGGCAGACTCTCTTTGATCTCCTACCACACTTAATCTACAGCCTTTGGATGATTTCTGTGTCCTGCTTTAAAACACAACAATCGGGCACTCTGTTTTCCCATGCGTACAAGTGGCTAGCACACAGTTCTTATTTTTAAATTTTATGTTTTAGTTTTTTAGGTTGTTTTTACAGGTTCTTCCTATATTGTCCAGGCCAGAGTACAGTGGCTATTCACAGACACAATCATGACACACCATGGCCTCAAATTTCTGGCCTCTAGTGATCCTCCTCCCACCTCAGCCTCCCAAGTAGCTGGGACTACAAGTGCACCCCACTGCACCCAGCTTAGCACCAACTCTTGCTCAGTAATCTGTAGAAGTGTGTTCCCTCTGTGTTAGTCCAGCCTCTGCAGCTAGTCTGATGAGAACTTGCCAGCGGGGAACTATGCTGGGGAGGAAGGGAACTCCTCCCCTTTTTCCTCTCTCCCACATTCCCACTTGGATTCCCAGAAGAAGAAAGCTCCATCTGTGTTTCTGGGCTCCTTCTCCACACCCAAGTCACTCCCACAGGAGAAGCCGGGTGCAACCTGACCTGGCACAGATCAGCACTCTTACGGGGCCCCAGCTCACCAGTGGGTGGGGTGACTGTGTTAAGGGCAAAAATGAAGCTCTATGCAATCTCTTTTAGTTCTAGGGCACAGGCACCTCTGGCTTTCTCTCTACCTGGGAGTCCAGGTGGTCAGACATGTTAGGTTGACCCTGTGGGCCAATTCAAGGGATAAAAAGCAGGCAGCCTTCCTTTGGACTCAGTTCTAATTCATGTTCTTCATAGTTCATCAGATGTCCTGGACTTGGAGAGTGAAAAGGTGCTTAACTGGGTTAATAGAGGCCACTGGACTTTGTCCACAGGAAGGGAGGAGGGATGGGGGCATAGTCGTTGTTTATGTTGGATTCTCATCCTCCTTTGCACAGTTTGGACCACAGATTAGATAAGTATTCAATACAACTTGAAAATGATATAAATAACCTCCAACATGGTACTGCCAAAACCAATCCATTCTGTCCTGTTCCCCTGCCTCTCCTCCCTGCTGCTCCCTCCTGATTCTCTGATTTCTCACAGAGACCCAGACCCACCAACTCCCAGCCTGGGGCAGGCAGTAAAACCCTGAGATAACTGGGTCTCGTGGTAACCTGAATTCTGATGGAAAGGGCCTGGTAGGTTCCTCCAGATCTCAGTCCAGGCCCCCATTCATTCCCCAGCGAGGGTAGGTAAAGATCTCATCTTCTGTGCATGCCTCTATAAGAAGGCAGATGGAAGGGAGGGCGGGGAAGGCATGCAAAAGACAGATACAAGGTGGATCTCCACATCCCTCCTGTTCCCTGTGCTCAATCTGCCTGGGAAGCCACCCAGGAGCCAGCATACTAGAAAAGTTCCAGAATAACTGCCACTGTCTAGGGCATCCCAAGCAACTACAGAACCTGGAAACACCCAGCCAACATTGAATATGGAGTAGACCCCTGATGGGAAGGAACCAAACTGCAGCCAGGACCAAGAGATTTGGAACGGACAGAGAGAACCCAGGAATCCCCGCCAGCCACTGCTTGGATTCACTCTAGTTATCTCATTAACCTTGGAAAAATCAACCCTACATTTTTCGTGATTCAACTCTGCATTATGTTGAAAATCAAAATGGTGACTGTATAGCTGCTGCATTAACTGGACACTTACTGTAGTGTATGCCAGGTGGTGTGTTGTTTTGGAGGATACAAAGATGATGGAGACTTAAGTGCTGTCCTCCCAGGGCTTAAACTTTAGCAGGGCATCTGTGGAGGGTCAAGGTAAGCTGGGAGCAGGGTGGTGGCATGGGAAAGAGGAGTCTTTCTCCACAACTGCTGCTGTGTAGCCATAAGCAATAAAGCTTAGCAGCTGAAACATCCGGGAACTACAATATAAACAGCACTGAAATTCCAGTTGACTTCTTGAAGAAGTCTACTTCAATCGTACATCAATCCCCACATTCTTATAATCAAGAACACTTCTGGAGATTAAGTGAAAAAGACAATGCATCAAGCTTCAAATTCCTAACATTGTTTCTTTTTCTTTTTCAATCAGCTTGCTATCCAAGAAGTTCCATGAATAGAAGTCTTCTTTCCCCTCCTGGTGTAATGGAGGTGCGCAGTCATCCTTTACTGAGTGCTAAGTACCTTGGGAAGGAGAAAGGACAGACAGCAGGTAGCACATATTCAGGAAACATAACATAAAACAAACCTATTTGTCCCCAAGCCGTCCTAGGTTGGAAATCTAGTTATTCAAATTAGGGCCCCCTTAAATGAAAATGTAGTTCAATCTGGAATAGTACCTAACAAGAGAGGCAGTGAGGCAACTTCTAAGGACTGAAAACTGCCCTGTCTAATTCTCCCCATTCCTCCCCATACACTGGCCAGACATTACTTTGTGGAGAGAACATTTACTACTGCAGTTAGTACTTTTTAAAAAAAGCTAACCAACGCAATAAACTCAGTTCACTTAATTTCAAAACATGAACTCATTGCTATCTCAGGAAATATCACCTTACTCTTTAGATTAAATGTTATCCCAAGTCTAGAGGCATTCAACAGTGAGAAAGTAATATACTTGAGTTGGCTTCTCCAGGCTCAAGTTTCACCAAAACAAGTTTCGTACAAAGATTAGCCAAGTACCGGGTAATGGGATATGGCAGGGTTACGTCATCTGTGGCCCATTTCCAAAGAAACATGGCTTTTCCAGGTGGAATTCTAAGCGCTCTCTCCTCACTCTTTATCATCTTTGCTACACCAATTTGCAGGATGGGTAAGGGCAGATGCACTGAAACAGGCTGCAGGCCACGAGCTTTGGGAAGGTCATTTCAGCGCCCTGGGTCTCTCTTTCCTCCATTGGGAGGTGGATTGTGGGGGCCACTTGTCATGGGGCCTCTTCCTGAGCTAACATCTGAAGATTCTTAGTCCTGGACTCTACTGTCCAAACTCTTCCTGTGACTGCCCCAGCACAGTCTCCTGACAGGTACATGAATCCAACATTCAAACTCTATGTATGTCTTATGTTCTGTGAGAATGGATGGAGCCAACTACTTGGCAGATCAAGTCTACCTCTCTTCCAAGTCCACGGCTCAGCCAAGTTTCCAAACCTAACATCCATCCACCTTGCATATCCGAAAACTCTTCCCAGGCACAGTGGGAGATGTGAAAAAGAACAATTCTTGCCCTTGATCTGCTGATGATGGTAATGAATTTTTGCAGACTGTTTATGAGGTGTCAGGTCCTACACTGAGTGCTTTACTTTAATTATCTCATTTAATTCTCACAAAATTCCTACTAGGTATGCATAACAGATGAGAAAACTGAAATGCAATCAGGTTAAATGATTTGACCAAGATCTCACAGCAGAACCTAGAATTTGCATTTAGGTCTGCCTGACACCATACTATCTCATATACTTACAGAGACTTGGCATGACCAATTGTAACTACAAATGCATCTCAATTTGCCCTAGACAGGACTGATTTACAACCACGTCCTGGTACAATTATTCATAGTACCTCTTTGACTTTCAGAAGTGTCCTGGCTTAAATAATAAATTATACAGTCACCTGCTATAATGTCTCCCTGAGGAGTGATCATAATAATAATTATACAAGCATGTCACTTTCTCAAAATAAAGCCCTTTTTAAACCACCCTACATTTAAAAGTGACCTCCTCTATCCTTCCTATCTTCACCCTGCTATATTTTTCTCCATAGCAGTCATCACCATAAAAAAGTAACATATATTTTGCTTATCATCTGTTTCCTCCACTAAAATATAAGTTCAATGAATGCAACATTTTCCCTTTGTTTATTTATGGGTCTCCCCCCCAAGTACCTAAAAGATGTTTCCTGAATATTTGCTGAATAAAGACATCATCACCATGTTATAACAATGGCTAACATTTATTGAGCATTTATAATCTGCTGGGTACTGCTCTAAATGTATGTATTTTATCAAAAAATCCTAATGACCCTGAGTTTGGAACAATTATCATTATTTTACAGGTAAAGAAACTGAGGCTCAGAGAGATAAAGCAATACTCTCCCCAGGTCACACAAACCATTGGCAGGGCTGGGAGAGAACAGAGGCTGGCCGTCCCTTGTCTGAGCCCAACAGCAAAGGCACAGCACATACAACAGCTCAAAGATTTAGGGCAGCGTGGGACTGAAGGTGAGCCCACACTACTGTCTGTCAGAGTTCACAGGAAGTGTGTGGTCAGGGAGGGCTTCTTAGAAGAAAGGGGACTTGATCTGAGCTTTGCAAGATGGGGTTGTATACAGAGAAATGGAAGAAGATGGAAAATCACAGGGCGGAGCAGGCTGATTGGAATGAACAGCTTCTACCTGGAACCCTTGCAGAGGAAGATCTAAAATGCTGCTGTCACCTAGAGAGCCTTGAATGCTACGCAGCATTTGTTCTTCATCCACTAGCAAGCAGGATCCCACAAGAAGTTTTTGACTGGGAAGGCCGTGGTCTGTAGTCTCCAGCACTAAAGCTTCCCATCAGGAATGTACACCCCTCTGCAGACATGCGTCCTCTTAAACCCAGGGCACATACAGGAGCAGGCAAATCCCTGTTTAAAGCGCCTCATTTTCTGATTTGTGTGCGCTATGGGTCCTCTCACGCTCCCTGTGAGCCCACAGCCCATCTCTCACTGTGACAAAGATAATGCAAAACGCAGGTGCTCACCCTCGTCCCACTCCACAGTGTTACGACTAGACATAGCCCTTCTGGTGGCAAGGACAAGCCTCTCCCACCTCCCGGCCCACCAATATTTCCATCGCACCTTCCTGTTCCAACCCCGTGTTCTATCACCCGTTCTCCGCGGTTGGTAATGCGCTTTCACCATCTTCCCACCTCCCCAGCTACCACTCTCACAACATCAGAGCCAGCAAGCGCTTCTGCAACAACACGGGAATCAAAAAGAACAAACCCGGGAATAGCCCCTGGGTCACCTAGCTGAGATCCCGGGGCTAGTAGCTAGAGAGATAATGACAGTCTGGTCCATGTGTCCTGGAGCGTCTTAGAGACCCTGAAGAAAAGCGTAGCACATGCCTTCTGGGTGGCTGGCATTGCATTACAGGAGCCAGAAACAAAACAAAACAAAAAATTCTTTTTTTTTTTTTTTTTTTGCTGGCTCCACATAAAAACAATTGCCTAAGTAATATAAGCACTGCTAGGTCACCAAAGGGACCAATTATAAATCTCTACTTCTCTATTAGCACAAAAATGAAGGAAAATGTGTTACCTCAAAATGTCATCCAAAGGAAGTCACTAATTTCAGAGTTTTTCTCCCCCCCCCCCCCAGCTATTCCATCCTTTATTTTTCCGGTAATTAACCAAAGTCAAAACCTTTCTATATGCTTTGGTTTCAATTCTGAAAAGTACATCAAGGCTACGATGGGCCATTACCCGCAGCAGAAATTCATATGGAAACGTTCATGTATATCTCAACTTGGTTTCTTGAGGAAAGGATGGAATTTCTTACCTAGAAGATTTTGGGAATTAACAGAAAGTGGATATGATTTCAGTACCTGGAAGATGGTAAAATCTATGCTAGTTACCATTAGTGGAAACCAGGAGAAAGTACGAGAAGTTCCTGAGAGTGGAAATTACTGATATTTTCCAGCAGAAGATGGGAGTACCTTCAAGCGACTGTCAACACATTTTATCATAAAAAAAGCAGAGGCTAGGTGCAGTGGCTCGCACTTGTAATCCTCGCACTTTAGGGGGTTAATGCAGGAAGATCACTTGAGGACAGGAGTTCGAGACCAGCCTGGACAGTATAGCAAGATCCCATCTCTACAAAAAATTTTTAAATTAGGCACACATGGTGGCATGTGCCTGTAGTCCCAGCTACTCGGGAGGCTGAGGCAGAAGGATTGCTTGAGCCCAGGAGTTTGAGGCTGTAGTGAGCTATGATCATACCACTGCACTCTAGCCTGGGTAACAGAGCAAGATCCTGTCTCAAAAAGAGCAGAAGTTGTTAAGATGAGAATTAGCCTATACGTGTAAAGAGCTGAAGTGACGTGACGGATGTGTTAATTAGCGTGATTGTGCCAACCATTTCACAACGTATACATACATCAAATCATCACGCTGTATACCTTAAATATATATAATTTTTATTTGGCAATTAAACCTCCATAAAGCCAGGGATAAAAAAAGAGCTGAAGGAGCATTCATCTTTCAAACACAGCACCTGGGAGCCCATGTGCTCTGCAGGGGCCCTATCATCCTGGCCTTTTGGAGGGAGCAATATAACTGCAGAGATGCAGACAGAGCCCTTTAACCCACTGACCTCTTTTAATCTGCTTGTTAGCCTGGCTGCGGACAGGCCCAGGGGGTCTTTGACCAATGGCTCTCTGGGGAAAGGTCAAAGGTCAGAGGCACATTCCCTCATCATCATTATTCTCAATTATTCTTTATTCAAAGCTACTTTCTCCTTCATTTTGAGGAAGAGCCCCTACAAGTGTGTTTCAGGACACTAAAGGGTGATGACCCAACCCACCCCCACTCTCCTCTCCACCTCACTCCCAGAATCCCCCTGATCAAAGAGGAGAACAGGGTAGTAGAAGTGCACAGAGAGACCCCTCACAGAAGGAACCACAGCAGTGAGCACAGACACATTGCAGTGGCAGGCCCTGCTCCCAGGAGACACCTGGGGTGTCAGAATAGAGCAGTTCAAAGCACAGCCTTTGCCACCAGACAGAACAGATCCTCTAAACTTACCAGCCCTGGAATCTTAGGCAAGCCATTTAACCCCCTGAGCCTTAATTTCTTCATCGGAATAGTGGGGATGATAATAGTTTCTATTTCATAGGGTTTTGGGGATGATGAAATAAAATCACGAATGTAAAACTCAGAGAAAAGGTTCAACATATGTTAGTTATTAATGATTAATTATAATCAATTATTAATGATTACTTTAGCAGTAATGTTTAAAAATCTTTCCTTGATGATAAATGTAATGTATGGTCATTGCACAAAATTTGGAATAATTTTTTTAATCTTTCCTTGATGATAAGTGTAATATGTGTGGTCGTTGTACAAAATTTAGAATATAAGAAATATAGACAAAAAAATAATTCCTGGTAATCTCCTCTCACTGTTAACATCTGGGAGTATCTCTGTGGAGTCTTTTCTCTGTGCAGACAGACACACACATGCCATAAGAGCAGCCACTCGCTGCCCATCAACTAACTGCTAGACCCTGAGTTCAAAGCCTGATGCATTTTTTTTTCCCTTACTTTCACAGTAATTCTGTGAGATGCTATAGTCCCCACTTATAGATGAGGAAACCAAGGCTCGAAGAGGCTTCGAGACCGGCCCAAGTCTCACTGAAGTGTCCCCTCCACAGAGCTCTGGCTACAGGCTCTCCAGCAGGACCACCGGTGAGGGCAGGCTGGGAGGGGGGCCTCTCTCAGTGCCTTTCATTTCCCCATTCTTGGGCTTTACCACTTTTCAGAGAATACCAGCAGCTCCAGAAGTGGCCTCAGTGTTTCTCCTTGCCCTGCCTAAGCTCAAAAAATCTAAAAGAAGGAAACTAGGGAGTGATAAGGATGTCAGAACCACCCCCATCACGCTCTGTGGCTGTGCCCCAAGCTTATCCGTTCCCCATGGGTGCTTTAGGCTGTGTAGTCACCTCCTCTCACTTTCATCAAAGGCCCATGACCCTGTCAGATGGGATTTGGACAGACGTAGGATCTAGCAGCTACTGCCTTCTATCCCAGGTGGTAAGGTGCATTGCTTACATTCCCCTGCAGAGATAACATAAAAATGCAAGTTCTGCCTCTAATTACTTTTGGCCTTATTTTTGATCCAATTAGCCTTAAAATAAAACATGAAGCAAAACCTTTAATTCTTCTATTCAACCAGAACAGTGAATTTTAGAGCTGTGGGTTAACTGATTTCATGTTTATTGAACTGCATCAGTGATGAAAGTTCAGGCACCTACCTCTGGCCCCAAGTCCCATTCTGGGGCAGTTATTCACACACAATTGACTTTTAAGATGTTCCAGAGAGCTCCTTCCTGCTGAGGGCCACTAATGATTCCAAGGTAAGAAAGGTTTGTTTTCTCTAAGCCCATTAGGAGAACAAACCATTTATCCAAAAGTGCAATGTAGAGTGGGGACAGAGATTGTGTCTCATTTACCTTTGAAGAAAATAATAATAATAATGGTTGTTCTCATTTAATAACACCCATGTTTCACACTCTGGGCTGGATCCTGTTTCTATATTATCTCACTTTATCTTTTCACAACTGGGGGGAATGCGGGTTGTAAAACTCTCTTTCACAGAGGAAGAAAACTCATTCAGAGATCAGGAAGTGGCAAGGCTGGAATTCAAACCAAGAACTATCTGCAAGCAAAACCCTTCACAATGGACACAGCTACCAAGCCTATGTTCTGCATAATGGATGCAGCAAATAACTGGTAAATAAATCGATCAATAAATGAATGAACAAGAAGCAAATTAATAATGTGTCAACTAATGATGTATCAGTGGTTCCTGGGATTCTGCAGAGAAGCTGAGGCCCATCCTGGAGGACATCTGAGGCTATCTGAATGTCAAGACCCAGGCACACCTTTTCCTACCTGGGTTCTGGGGAAAACAGGTGCACAGGACAGCAGCTGCTGCCTCACGCTCCCCACAGTACTCCCAGGTTTCAGGTTGTTTGAGCTCCTCAAGCTCCTCCTCCACCTGATGGGGGATACTTTGGTGGAACACAGCTACCTTGGGTGGTCCTCACAGTTAATTGGAAAAGTGAGACAGGTCTAAAGATCCAGACAGACCCAATAAAGGCTGACCTTTGACCTGTGTTGGGGAAAGTCCACTCTATAGGTTAAATGGGCAGTAATTCTGGAGTAGTGAGGCCATCCCAGCCCTTAGCACGGCCACATGCCACCAAGCTCCAGAAAGCCATACCCTGGGGTGCCCCATGTTTTCTCAACCTGGCAAGTAATTCTTTCTTTTTTTTTGTTTCTTAAGAGCATTTAGTTCTGGCAACCTGACCCTATCCCAGTCCAGACCAGGACCCAACTTTCCTCTGCTGCATGTTAGAATGGTTTCTCAGGTGTAGCTTGGAAAGAAATTGCATGAAACTCTGGGCTCTCCCAGCACAGTCTGGAGAGAGATTCCAGGAAAGGATTAGGGAACTGGAGTCATGACATAGTGCAGCAAAGGTGCATAACGTCTGCTAATGTTACAGCACATTAAACAAAGTTGTAAAATAGTAGCTTAAAGTTAGGCAGGCCAAACATAACACAAGAAGTATGAAAAGCAAGGTGCCATTTTCCCAACAAATAAGTTCATTATATGAAGACTCAGCTTACGGTGATTTAGCCTCTTGGTAACCAGTGCAGAAGCTGTTACTTGTTTTTGCTTGTTTTGGTAGCATCTTTAAAAAGTTCACCACAATAAGTAAGAATTGCAGTTTATAATAGTATCTATTTCCCTATTGAATGCTTATTATGTGCCAGGCACCCTACAAATACGATTTCTTATGCTGGCATTAGTTCTACAAGGTAGGAACTTGCTCCATTTTACTGAGGAGGAAACTGACATCCAACGGGGTTAAGTGACTTGGCCACAGAGCTGGCTGATTTCAATGGGGGAATTATAGTCCCCGCCAGCTGAAACCATCCGATTAAAAAAAAAAATCACAAAAGTAAAATCCAGAGAAGAGATTTCCGATCACATTTCCTCCTCGGGATAGGGAAACAACTCAGGCTTCCTGGGGCAGCTAGGAAAACCCTGCTCTCAGCTCTCGGGGGAGTGATGGGCGGTTATTTTTGAAAACAGAGGAGGGAAAAAGTACCTGCAGCCTGGATGGTTCTTGCAAGCTTGAAAGAGAACTGAGCCATTGTGAGAGGACACAGTGCATATTCACGTGGGGCTCATGTTATCTCTCCCCGCTCCCCAACAAGCCAAACCTCAACTGCAATCAACACCCCTGTGCATCCCAAACTATCAAAGCACAATGGGGGTGGGGGCGCAGACCCACTCGCAGGAGACAATTCCAGCATGTGCAACCCAAGAGAGCCCCAGGAATTCCTAGGTGGAAGGGACTTGGAGATAATGCAGCCCAGTCCCACCCCCTCCAATCACACAAAACCACAGATGCACACATCGACTCTCCTGGTTTACACACCACACACACACACACACACACCCTGAAATCTATCTTCAAAACAATAAGGGAAATACCGAGTACGGAATGCATTTCAGGGGCTTTCCACCACGGGA